AGTGGCGCTGTGGCTCAAGTGGTAGAGCACTAGCCTTGAGCTGAAGAGCTGAGGGACAGTGCCCAGGCCCAGAGTTCAGGCCCCACGACCGGACCCCCCCAAATAAAAGAAAAAAAAAGAAAAAAAAAGAAATAAGCCCACACCCATCTCTCTTTGGGGAAAAGGCAATTGTGCTGCCTATGAAGAAGGAAGTCCTGGAGATCACAGGAGCCTCAAGGCTAGTGGGAAATTAACCAAAAGCAGGAATAGCACTTGGCATTCAGAGGACTTAGTTTTTATTTTTTCTCCACTCCAACTGTTGAGAGTATGGCCAATAGGACATAGGCACTGCCCACCTTGCTCTTTGTAGTCCAGAATCTAGACTGGGGCTCGATATTCTTCAGTTCTTCCTGAAGCAGATCTAAACTCAAGCCTAGCCCCAGGTTTCATTTCTGTCCTCCAGTTTCTTAGCTAATAAAAGAAGCAGAAATTCCATCCATTGGATGGACACGTACTGTCAAGCAGAATTGAGCTAGACATGGATGCTAGAACTAGAGTCCAGGAATTGACCAGGATCCAGGTTAGGGCTGATCCCACAGCCAGCACTCAGGATCTTTAAGCATTCCATTGTTGAGTCTGCAGAGCTACTGCCCTCAGGTTCAAGATCATACTGTCTCCTACCAGCCTTCTGCCTCTCTACTAGAGTCCCTGGAAGGGGCAGCAGCCCCTGGGGACACTGGAGACGTGGGCGTGCTCCGCGTGGGCCGCTGCCTGCAGCAGGGTCACGCTGCCACATGTGCTGGGGTTTTCTGTTGGTTCTTGTTGAACCTGGTGTTGGTGCTGGGTGTGGGGCTCCAAAAGATGGCTGAGCAAGGCACGAGTCATGACTGTGGTCATGTTAGGGGTCCCTGAAGCCACCAGTGACAACACATCAGCCTCTGTGTCATCCAGGCTGCCACGGAGAATGAGGGGACATGCCCAGGCACTGTGTGCAGACTCGGCCGTCAGGTTCCTGAGTAGAACCCCAGTGCTCGGAGACAAGTATCGAGAACCAAAGGCACTGTTGAGTGAGGAGGTGAGCAGGAGTGTGGAGCCACTGTTGTCCACAGTGGCCAAGATGCTGCTTATCAGGGCAGTTTGCAAGTGCTGTGGGCAGGGGGCAGGGCTGGGTGTTGGGGTACGCAGGGCAGCCTCCAGCTGTGCCAGCAGTTCTGGGCCAGCAGAAGGGCTGGGGGTTGTGAAGAGGATGCCCTGGGGCACAGAAAGCTGTAGCGCTGGCTCCAAGCTGGGCCTGGGCCAAGCTAAGGGTTCCTCCAGTCCTAGATCTTTAGCCAGCAGACTCAGTAGGACTTTGCCAGTGAGGTCTGGGGTGGGGGCAAGTGCTGCCCTGCGTAGCACAGTGGCCAGTTTGGGGTTGGTGGCTCGCATGCCAAGGCCCAGGGGAGTCCCATCAGCATGGCAAAGCAGTGGGCAGAGACCCCTTGTGCCCTGGGCTGCCAGAGCACTGGCGAGGGGCGCATCCACCACAAAGCCCTCTTGAGCTAGCATGGTAGGGCCCACCAGCAGGCGGGACCAAGGCAGGCAGCCAAAGCGTGTGTGGAGCAAATGCAGGGCAGGCAGAGCCCCAGGCAACCCCAGGCCAGGGGCCAGGGCCTGGGTTGGGCCTGTAGTCAGGGCAGTTGAGTTTCCTGAGGAGCTATTGTAGAAGAGGCCCCAAACCATGGCACCTAGGGAGACAAAAGGGTCGCACAGGGGTCAGGGTACTGGCCAGGACAGAAATCAAAGTCACCTAGCAGACCCAGTGAAGGTCACTGGCTTGTTTAAAATGGAAGTTAAGGGCTGGGAGTGTGGCTTAGTGGTAGAGTGTTTGTCTAGCATGCATGAAGC